TACAAACTGCCATCTTCAGTGTAGTTTCTTAGTTCACATGTGTCAGTATATATAGTTAGTCAGGATGAGAATCATTCCAACTGAGTCTGGATTTTTAAAAGTCTGTACACATTCAAAGCAAGATTTAAACAAAACAAAACACAACAAAACACTATGCCTAATCAAGGTATAGTAAATCTACTAAAAATAAAGAAAATCAGAAAATCTTAAAAGCAGTCTTAGGAAAAGCTTTACTTCAAAGAAGCAATAATTAGGCTGGTATATTATTTTTCAGTGCAATGGAATGAAAGATGACAACACTTAAATTTAACTGCTGTCATCTACAAAAAGAAAATTGTCATCTTCAAAACTTGTGATTCATGTGAATTCTAAAACTGTTCTAATAAAAATAACCTTCAAGAATAAAGTAAAATAAAAATAATACAACCAAAAGCTGACATAATTCATTAGGAGAAATCTGAACTAAATAAATACTAAAAGTTATTCTTCAGGCAGTTAGAAAATTCTAGATGCAGGGAGGAATGAAGAGCAATGAAGAAAAAACTGTGGAAAACTTAATGAATATTAACCACATAAAAGTAATGTTTTATGATTGTGAAATATATGCAATTGCAATCTATAATGTCAATGGAATAGCAATAAGGAGATGCTGGGCCTGGTGGTACATGCCTGTAATCCCAGTGCTCAAGAAGCTGTGACAGGAGAAACATGAGTTTGAAATAAGAATGAACTACAGGGGCCTGGGGTGATGGCTCAGTAGAATAATTGCTTCCCTGGCAAGTGCAAGGACCTGAGTTCAATCCCCGGTTCCAGAAAAAAAAAAAAAAAAAAGAATGAAAAGAATGAACTATATAGAACTTTGTCTCAAAAAACCAAAGTGGGTGAGGGGGGGAAGGGGGACAGGGATAAATGAAGTTTAAATATTCTGAAGTCTTCTTGAAAGAAAGCAGGAAACAATTTATTAATCAAGTAATTAGATGCCACATTTACATCCAAATATATCAGTAATTATATAAAAGATATTTTCACTTTTTGGTATGTGTAGTGACTGTAGATACTATATTTTATGGAATGGCCAACCTTTTTCCCAAAATAGCTATATCATTTAAGGTCCCTAACAGGAATGTTTGTGTTGTAGGCAGCTGAATTAGACAGAAATATAGGCAGTCAGACTGGGCCAAGCCCTCAAGGAGACAATATGGAAGACAAGGTGACTTTACAACTTGGAAGAGACAGATACTCCCATACATGTCAGACAAAAGAGGAAACAAATATAGCTACCTACTTCCCTAGGGATGGGCATCAGGGATTGATATTCTAAATAGATATCAATCACCTTGAAAGAGCCCAAATGAGTCACTAGCCCAACCCCCAACAGGAAGAGACCTTGTCCCGTATTTATGCCCACTTGCTAGTGACTCACTTCCCCATTTGGTACTGGATTTAACCAATTTTACCTGAGCAATGGTGCTTGTGATCTTAGTAGTTTTGTTCCATCTCATGCCCACCTAAGCGAGTTTCTATGTTTTCCACCACCTTAGACCCACCACCCAGCATGGTGTTTCTTCAATAAAAGTCCCTGGAAAAAACAGCTTTCCAGGGACAATCCTTCTGTCCCTCTCTTGGACAGAAGTTTTTTTCCCCCAATAAATACATGCTGCTCTTCCATCCAAGTACTAACCAGGCCAGACCCTGCTTAGCTTCTGAGATCAGATGAGATCGGGCACGTTCAGAGTGGTATGGCCATAGACACATGCTGCTCTTAACCTCCATTTGTTCGTAAAATTCATTCTTTGGATTTAGAGAACAAGAACTCGTCCCAAGTACTTTTCAAGTCGGGTGTTTCACTTTTTCCCCTGTATCATTTGGAGGTCATCCACCAAGGTCAGTTTTCCCCTATATCATATGGGTCTCAGTTTCTCACATTCTTTTTTTTTTCTTTTCAAAGTTTTATTGATAAACATATAGCAATGAGACAGTTTCAAATCAAATCGAAAGTACAGTTTCAACAAATAATACAGTGCATATATTCTTCTTAGTGGGATTTCTCACATTCTTGTCAGTACTTATAATTGTGGTTTTGATGCTAACCATCTTAGTGGGTATGAAATGATAGCTCATTAAAGTTTTGATTTACATTTCTTAGATGACTAATGATGTCAAGCACATTTTTATGTACTTATTGGTTTTTTTGGTTTTTTTTGGTAAGAGTAGGACGAATTTATTGAAAGAAAGAAAGCTTCTGTCTGAAAGAGACAGAAGGGGCCTGGAAAGTGAGTTCACGACCAACCTACTTCTCAAGGGTGTTTATGGAACAAAGTCACAGGGTGAGGCAGGCTTAAGGTGGGACAGAATTGTAGCCAATAAGAGGGCAAGTATAGTCACTTAGATAATAGTCATGCAATGGCAAATCATAGGATGGGTGTGAGGTGGGACAAAACTGTGGCCAACCAGTGTTTATACAACAAGTATACCCACTTGGGTAATATTGATTAAATGGGGATCAAAGGGGAAAACAAGTTACATAGCAAGGCATAGGGGCAGAGAAAGCTTTTCCTGGAAGGGTTGCGTTAAGGAGGTTTGGTCTTCTACCCCAAAGTGATTGGTGCCTACCTAGAATATCAATCATTGCCTTTCATCACTAGGGAATGTATAAGGATGAGTAGTTCTTCTTTTTCTTGAATCCTGGCCTTCAGTGAATGTGGCTCCAGGCACCCTTGTCTTCTGCATTGACCTCTTCAGAGCCCTGTCTGACTGCCTACAATGTTCCTTCCTATCTTAGCTATCTGTAATATTCCTCCCTCTGAAGAAGTATCCCAAACTGCCAAAAGGGGGCAAGGGTCAGAGACTCATGTGGCTGCTTCCAGCTGAGGTCATAGCTGTGACCAACAGCCAGAGCTCCTCCACAGAGGATCCATCTCAAGGCCCTCAGTGGATGCCTGGGGTTCTTGTCTTGGGGAGACACACAGATTTAAGCCTGGAGGAGACAAGGCCGTAGAAAGTTTGTACCTGCATTTCAATTCAGGTGCCTTTTTTGTCTGTTTTAAAAGTCAAAGTTTTTAAAATTATTGAGTTGCGTTTTTCATGTACTCTGGCAACAACTACTTTATCAGACAAAGGGTTTCATATATTTTTCGTATGATGTCAGTTGTCTTTTCACTTCTGTGTCCTCTGTAGTGCCAAGACATAATTTTGATGCAATCTAATTCATTTGTTTCTTCTTTTGTTTCCCATGCTTGGTCTAATGAAAAGTTATAAAATTTACCTTTTTGTTTTTTCTATTAGCTCTACAGATTTTGCTGTGAGACTCATGTGTAGTCCATTTACTTGTGGTCCTAATGTCTGTGTGTGATATACAAAGAGGATCTTACTGCAGCCTTGTGAATGTGGCCATCCATTTTTCTCAGCACTGCTTGAATCATCTTACTGACTAGTCAGAAATGTTCTTTCCTAAATAGTTTTTCTTTCAAGTCAAGTGTCCTGTTGTTTAAATAAACTTCTCGTTTAAAAAAGTAAATACAGTCCTTTTGATCTTTTGCTAAAAAATGGGCACTTTAGATAACAATTTGACAACTGGAGATAATATTCTCCTCAGAGGATTTTTGTTTAGTTGGTGCCTTTTCTGAACTAATTCTGTAAAGTCTATACATTTTGCCATGTTCAGCAACTGATGTTTACACGAATTAATGTGGTGGTCAGTGAATGTTCGGGGAAAGATTTTTTTATGTGCTTTTTATAAATCTTCTGTCTTCCTAACCTTCACATTGTATTCTTTCCTGTGAGTTTATATGAATTGGGAAGTGCCTTCAAAGCCTCCACTATCAGTGTGTAACTCTACCTTAGGCTGCACGGCCTGTGCATGGACATTCGAGGCCTACCAGTTAGGGCCTTCTTGACCCTTTCCCTGGAGACACAAGTACCTCTAGGGTGCTCTCAGTCCTGCATGTGACTGTGAACCTCAAGAGTACCAGGAGTATACAGGAGCTCTTGAATGTTTCCTACGGATGGCACATTTCCAGTCTATCTTTTTAAGTACTTTGGACAGTCTTTCATTAGCTCCAAATGACAATGCTTCTTGGGTCAACTAGAATGTTAGGGCATTACTGCTGAGTATTTTGACAAGTTCCCTGTGGGTAGGCCTTTTCACATAGAAGGAGCTTCAAGTCAAATAAAGAGTAGCTGGTGCTTCTCTATGGTTAGTATATGGTTTGTCACCAAGAGGATTATATGCTAGCAGTGTGATTTCTAGTTTAATTGTACTGAAGTTTTTTTTTTTTTTATACAAGAACTTATGTTTATTGCAAACAAACAAAAAAGAAAAAGGAAAAGAAAGAAAATGGTAAGAAAAGCACAACATGTAAGGTTAAGAATTTAAAAACGTCTTACATTCTGCCCTAATGGCAGCATAATTAATAGCAACAAA